GAATAGGATCTTCCATGACTACTTAGATAAGTTCATCGTCGTGTACCTCGACGATATACTGATCTTTAGTAAGATTGTCGAGGAGCATGCTCAACATGTAGATAAAGTCCTCTCACTCCTTCGGCAGCACAAGTATAAGATAAACAAAGAGAAATGTGAGTTCGGTCGCACTCGAATCTTGTACTTAGGTCATGAAGTATCCGCGGATGGGATTAGGCCCAAAGATGCGAAGGTGGCTAGCATACGTGACTAGCCACGGCCCCAGTCTGTGACTGAGGTCAGTTCATTCTTGGGAATGTGTGGTTATTACCGCAATTTCATAAAGAATTATAGTACGATCGCATCTCCCTTGACTGATCTGACTCGACTTGACACACCATGGGACTGGACCGACGATTGTGAGGCAGCATTCAAGCGTTTGAAGCATGCTCTCATGCATCACGAGGTTCTCATGGTACCCGATCCGCAAAGGCCATTTGTTGTAACCACTGACGCGAGCCAATACGGCATTGGCGCTCAACAGGAAGGGAAAAAGTTGAGACCAGTCGAGTATATGAGCAAAAAGATGCCATCAAAGACGTTGGCAAAGTCCACCTACGAGAGGGAACTTTATGCTCTCTACAAACACTTGTCCACTGAAGGCACTATCTGTTAGGAAGGTTCTTCTATTTGAGAACTGACCATCAGACCCTCAAGTGGATCAAGACCCAACCAGTTCTCTCCGATGCACTCAAACGCTGGATTGAAGTCATAGATCAGTATGACTTCAAACTAGACTATGTGAAGGGAGAGTACAACAAGGTTGCGGACACATTGTCTAGAAGGGCAGATTACCTAGGTGCGCTGATTTTCGAGTTTGGCTTATCTGAAGACGTGACTCGATCTTTGGGGGAAGCCTACAAGGAAGATCCCATCACGATGGACATCATCAACAAACTGCAGGCCAAAGACAAGGCCACCTCTGACGAGTTTGTGATGGTGGATGGGTTACTCTTTCTTGAAAAGGCAGGGTTTAAAAGGTTAGTTGTTCCATCTAGGGAAGTTTTGCGTAGTTTATTTTTAGGTGAGTGCCATGACGCAACGGGACATTTCGGCTACAAGAAGACTAGTGCTAATTTAGTACAACGATTCTGGTGGCCTAACATGCTAGACGATGCGAAAAAGTACGTACAGACCTGCCAGGTTTGTCAGCGGGACAAGCCGCGGACTCAAGCTCCGCTTGAGTTACTCAAGCCTCTACCCATTCCTGCTGGCCCAGGGCACAATATCTCCATCGACTTCATGGATACTCTCGTGACCAGCAAGAATGGCAAGAGGCACATCTTCGTCGTAGTTGATAGGTTCACCAAGTATGCTAGACTAATTGCCATGCCGGAGACTGCCAGGACTGAACATGTCATCAAGTTATTCATGGATAACTGGGTGCGTGACTTTGGACTGCCAAAGACAATCATTAGTGATAGAGATGTGCGTTTCACAAGTGAGATGTCAAAGAAGGCCGTTGAACAGATGGGCAGCCAACTTCAGATGACTTATGGGAATCATCCCGAAGCAAATGGGCAGGCTGAACAGATGAACCGTGTGGTGCAGCATCTGCTGAGGCATTACATCAAGCCCAACCAGGACGACTGGGATGAGAAATTACCTCTCATCACCACCCTGTACAACAATGCTGTACACAGTACCACCGGCGTCAGTCCCAATCAGCCGCATCTGGGATGGCAGCCTAGATCTTCTCTAGACTTCCTCCTGCCTGAAAACCGAACTGCTGCAACTCCTGGAACCATTGACTTTGGTGTCCAGTATGAGAAATTGTTGCCGCAGACTGTCGAACACATCAAGAAATCTCAGGAAACTATGATTGCTTCTGAGAACAAACATCTCCGACAGTCCACATTTCAGGTAGGGGAACGTGTCTGGGTGAAGGCTAGTGAGTTGGGACAGGAGTTTGGCATCTCTAGGAAACTAATGCCTCAGTATTTCGGGCCCTGGGAAGTCCTGGATCTTGTGGGGAATGATTTGGATGGTCCCTCGTACGTCATTCGTATCCCTGGTCACCTACGCACTTACCCTGTTTTTTACGCCTCCAAGCTTGCACCTTTGGCTGAGACAGCACAGTTCCCATCATGGAGATCTATGCTGACCCCAACCATGGATGGCCATGTGGACGTCGACAACATCCTGGATCACAGAGACACACCTGTTCCCAAGCCACCTGGCAGGGGAAGACATCCTAAACCTGCAACGGAATACAGAGTACATTTCAGGCATTATACTGATCCTAAAGAAGATCGATGGATTTCAAGGGAGGAACTTGTCAAGACAGCTCCTCAGATCGTGGCAGATTATGAGAAGAAACTGAAGGGGAAGGCACCAGCATGAAGCATCTCAGCGGACTTTCGAAGCTAAGGGAGATGGAATGTGAGGAACAAGCCCTCAAGGGGCCCTATCAGACATCACATGTTCTGGGCTAAGGCCCCCAGCAAGCCCTAAGTGAAGGCGGGCCCTAAGTGAAGGCGGGCCTGAATATTCGTCAGAGGCCAAAATTCGACATTTCCATATGTGGGTACTCAGGCTCTCGCAGCACGCCAGTTGGTTGGGTAGATGCGTGAGCCTCAATAAGCTGCGTCATACAGTTGACCCAGGCCTTGACAGTTGCGCCTGGGCACATACACACAAAGCAGGGCCGATACATTGGGAAGCAGGCCGCCGGCCTTTGGAAAAGCAGTACTGTCTACGCACCTGCCTGGGAGCCCCGCACAGATGCAGCAAACAGCCCAAGTCCGGAGACTCAGGCCGTGCCCAACTGAAAAGGGCCCAGGCACTCAACTGTAGTCTTGGGCCTGGGCGCAGGGTCTGAGGCCCAACCGGAAGCTACTGGAAGCTTCCAGCCAGGCCACATGCAGCATCCAGGAGGCTGCCACTTCGATAAAAGAAGTGAGGCAGCCCAGGCCAGGCATTCGGGCCAGTGCAGGCAATGCGGAAGTGCTGCTGTGCTCTTGCTTGATGCTGCGGTGCTGCCAAAGGCGCTGACGGGGCGTGTAGTGGTGAGGAGGGGCGCTGCAGGGCAGCTGGGCGCAGGCAGCCATAGCCGGGCTGCTGGGCGCCAGGGGTAACAGCGGGCGATCTGGTGGTCTTCAGGGAAGGAGGCGCAGTGTGGGGTAATCAAGGTCTGATTGAGGGTGACGAGATACGTACCTGGTACATGAAGAGAGGTCGGCTATGATGTTGACAGTCATGTACATTGGTCTTCGAGAGTTGAAGTGAGCCTGTTGCATGAACCAGCTGTAGGTAGGATAGTCGGGTAGAGTAGGCTGGGCGCTGGGTGCCAGACAGAGAGGAGCGACTTTGGATACTGTGTTGGTGTGGCCTACGGGCTTGAACATTGGCTCATTACTTCATTGTATTGCTCTATATGGATGGTTTCTCGGTGCATTTTGTACTCTCTGCTTGGACACGACTACCTGGACATCTGTGTGATTTCGCAACTTGGTTTTCTGTATAATGTTTACACTCATATTCCTTGCACCTAAATCACTTCTCGATTTATACCTGTCGTTCCTGTGCAGGGCCATGTAATCTTCGCTGTATTTGTCGAGGTTCTGGAGGAAGATACATTGTCGTTTGAAACAAGGGTTGCGGCAGCTTTTTTTCCGTTCTCGTTTCAAATACGGGATACCACATGCACAGAGCACAAACCTGTTCATTTTTTTTTTCCTGCTTTTCTTTTTTTTTTTCTTGTGAAAAATGATATTCTGTTCACTGGTCGTTCCTTCTCGTTTCTGAAAGGAACGACCTCCGCACCTCTGCCGGGGCTCTACCCAGCCTCTACCGACCCTGTCCATGTCTTCCATGAATTCAGGAAGAGCAAAATGTTTGGCTGGGCGGGGTACTGGTGGTTTAATAGATCGCACCGCAATTTTTTTTTGCTTTTCTTTGCGTCACAATTTCTGTTTGCCTTGACAGATTGCGTGATCTAATATCCACAACACTGAAAAAGTTGCTGATGTTGTAAACTTGGAATTATGCTCTCCATGAGGTTAGCCGAGGTGCATGGCGGTTTTGATTTGTGACCAATCACAAGTTTGTTTGAAGATTGGCCACGAATTGCCATCATCCTTCCGCGGTGCTGGCTGTGAATTGCAGCCGTCCTTCCAAGATACCGGTCCAGTACTGAACACGGATTGTGTTGTGATAGATAGAGGCAGGGCACAAATGGAAAATGTGCTGCGTCGGATAGGCTCG